GAAATAAATGAAGAATGAAATGACAATAGCACGTTATGCTTCAAATCTGCTACATTTTTTGAGCAAGTTCTGCTTGATTGATGCAATAATATTTGCATCACGGCATGACATATTTATATTCTTTTTTTTTTCTGTTTTTCTGCGACACTAGTTGAAATAACAGATTATGGTTGAATGCTGGCTACATTGTACTGGCATAATGTGTTATTGCAAACTTTGCAAAATATGATCACTCAGTCTTGGTTATCTGGGTATATTCAGTCTCGTACGTAATTGTATGTAAATAGATATCAAAATTGTCTGTATATGCAAAACTTTTTTGCCAGAAAAAATATGTAAAAAAATAATATAACGTTTTGCAAATACATTAATGTATTTTGTTAGTATTAAGTAAAACACAAGCGTTTCCCATAACCTCTTGCTATATCATTTCTATTCTTATTTTAATTTCATTGTTTTTTTTTGATCGGCACAAATTTCACGCGAACTGGATGAGCAGGACGAATTACCATATCCACCTTTAACGGAAGATTTCTCAAGTAATCAAATGGCTCCAGGTAAAAGTGATGTATCAGAGATGCGATCATAGCTTTCAATTCGTACATAGCGAACCGTTGACCTGCCGCAAACACAGTAAATCAAAAAAATTGTCTTCTCGTCTGAATAACGGACGAACAACGCAATTTACCTATGCAATTTCGCGGTCCCGCACTAAACGGTATGTAGCAATAAGGATGACGATTTTGCACTTGGTCGGGCAAAAATCGATCCGGATCGAATACATCCGGATTCGGCCAGAAATGAGGATCTCTGTGGACGGCGTAGATATCAATATTCACGTATACATTAGCCGGCACTATGTACGACTCTATTAGAGAACAAAAAATAATATTTACATGTATACACTTGCATGGCAATGACGTGTAACAATGTAACATAATCTATGATAATGACATATTAAAAATCTATATCGCAACGCAATAATATATACGTACGACATTTTATATCTTCTGCAAGAGTGCGTGATATGTTAGGCACACTAGGATACAATCGCAGCGCTTCTTTCAAGCATCTCTCTAAGTACGGTAGCTTTTGTAAAGACGCCATAGTCAAATTTCCTTTAGTTTCTTCCATCACATCATTAACTTCAGTCCTGACACGATCCTGTATAAATTGTTGAAAGTTATGGTATTCTGCTACTTTTCATTATAAACGTTTTTGTTGGTTTTGAGATGATTTTACGAGACTATTAATTTGTAATTACTTTTACAAGATATAATGACTACTTTCGTTTAAAATTAATTAAATATAGAGAAAAATAGTTTCATAGAGAACCGACCAAAACAAAGAATGACGTAATCAGTTCTTTGTCATATTTATTGATCACAAAATACCTGAATATCCTTGTGCTCAGCTAATAATAGTAAAGCAAAACACACACCCATTGCCGTAGTATCGTGACCCTGTAATTATACGTATCTATTTCTCAGTAATTATATGTATATGAATGTACTAAGAAGAAACAAATTGGGCGCATACTACACATTATACGTGCCTCGAACATGAAGGTGTCAACTTCCTCTCTGATGTCCAAATCGGTTATAT